ATTATCTGCTTCTGTATAGCTGATAGCACTCCAGGGCTATACTACATGAAAATTCCTCTGGTCACATTGGATCAGGTGGCAGTTTGCCAGGTATAGACCCTTTTGACAAGTATTTTACCAACTCTGAGCTAATGAACGGATTTATTCTCTTGTTAACATTTGTGGGAAGGTTTGATTAAAGGCTGCTGGCTGTGCAACAAAGAGGATGAAACCAAACATACGTGGCTGGATTTTCAGTGAGAAAAGGACAGCATGCTCAGGAGTCTGAAAAGGACAAAAGTACTCAGGAAAATCTCCTGCTTTCCTTTTGAGCCTAATTGCTGGAGTTGTAACCTCCTCAGCATGAACTACTCTTGAACAAAATCATTCCAGGCCCTTGTGATTTCTTCTTGGCCAGTGTTGTAATTCTCTAATTGCAACTTTATTGGGCCTTACTAAATGGTTTCCAGGACAGATCCTCTGGCTCTTTTGCTAACCTAATTGACCTCTACTGTAATAGAGAGAGAGGGCACTGACACCTTTTGGGTACACCATTACTTCCCAAGGTCTCGACGGTATGGTGAGCATGATAGTTGGGATCTTACCTAATTAAAGAATTCCTGTGGACTATTGAAAAGAACACGTGGTTTTTCTGTGATACCATTCAGGAGATTGGCTAGTTAAAAAATAAAAATAGGATAAGTAGCTTAGTGAAGTAAATTGCCCTGGCATCAGAACTCTGCTCCAGTTAGCTACAGCCTCAGTGGGAGTTTCAGCAGCTGGTTGCAAGCTAAGGGTACAAGCTGTCTGTAGCTTTCCATCCCTTCTGTCACAGTTCCTTTGGCACCATATGAGAGCAAAGCAATGTCAATGCTTTTCAACTGAAGTAGCAGAAGCAGGAGGCCTTTCCACTCTCTCAGGTGGTGGGGTTTAGTGGTAATTCCCCTGTGGATGATAAATTTGTCTCCACAGTCTAGGTTGTTTCTGAATAGTTTCCTAGTAAGGCCAGTGGATACCTGAAGATCGGCAGTGCAAGCTGATTAAACATTCCAGCTTTATTTCTAGTGAAGGGTTAGTTCTGAAATGGGCTTCTTGGTGTGTGCCTCACAGCACTTCAATTTATACAGCAGGGGAGAGGCTGTGGCAATATATACGGGTGGAGGAAATTAGTTTATTAATAGAGCTCCTTGGAGTGCTAGGCTTTGCTGGATCACATACTCTTTGAGCCTAATGCAGCCTTGAAAGCCCTCTCCCCCTCTTGCTGACCCTCGATCTGGTCTGTGGGCTGACCAGCTGCCTCTGCAGGCATGGTCACCAAGACGGAGAGAGTCTGCAGTTCCACCCTGCAGATGCCCTTGCACACCCTTGGCTGTGAAGACTCTTGGCTTCACATCTCTGCAGGCAGCTTCTTGGGATGTGTGAAAAATCAAATGGGAAAAATCATGCTATTTCAGCTAATAGAATCACAGAATCACAAGGTTGGAAACGACCTGCAAGATCATCTAGTCCAACCACCCTCCCATTCCTATCAGTGCGACAAGCTACTAAACCACCTCTCGTAGCTCCTCAGCTCCTCCTTAATAATAAATAAAGGTCTTTCTCCTCTGCTGAGATCCAATTAATTTAGGATGCAATTTACCAATTGTGTTTGGGAAGAGGAGCAGCCTTGTTTCCAAAGGTCTTCAGTGCCAAAATGGATGAACTGTGAACAACTTGGTGTGAGTTCACTGTTGCTTTGAGTGTGAGACTGGAGAAGAAACCTTATGAGGTTCTGTCCAGTATGGATGGCTTAATGAGTACTGTGCTTGCAACTTATTGGCTGATTTCAAGGTTATTTTAAAAAAGATGCTACTTCACAGAACAAACAAAAAAAAAAAAGGCAAAAGAAGTTATTAACCCTCTTCCTGTAATTCGCAAAGAAAAGACAAAAATCATTCCACCTGTGCTGCACACTTTGCCATGGAACAGCAGTTCCTTCAAGTTATATTGACTTCATAGAACAAGTGATTTCTTTAAAAATCACGTTTGCTATTTTATGGGTTTTCTTACTTTTTCATGAGAGACCTATTCAAATACAGCAAATTTGATTTTTACCCCTAGTTGCACTGGAAATTCTAGACTGAGTGCTCCATGAACATTCACATTTAGTGAGTAATGTGATTATAAGAGTATTTAATGACTTTAATTTGCATATATAGTATAGATAATTTCCAGATACTTTCTTTTATTAACCTCTAACTGCCAAATATACCTATAAATAAATAAGGTCAGATTTTATCATTTAGTCTGACATTGGCTGGAACCTTGCCTTAGGAATACATCCGTCTAAGTCTGCTGAATTACTCATGCAGGAAAAAAAACACACATCACAAATAAGGCTGAGAATGGCAGAATTTGGCCTGTTTATCTGCACATGTCGGTAGTCCATACGTGTTTAAAGGCAACATGGAAAATGTTAGTTTTGCTGCATTTATACATGTGCATGGTTTTAATGTACTTAGAAGGGATTTTTCCTGCCATTTCTTAGGTACATAAGTAGACAGGGAGAAGCTCTCAGTGGATTAGCTCTGCTTTGTGCCATGTCATTTGCCAGCAGTGCTAGCTTCTTTAATGTCTCATGCACAGATACCTACTATTTCAGACAGTGGAGATGCTGGTAAATATCCATTGAAGGACACATGACAGTGTCTCATAAAATCCAGCAATGCTGGATCCTAGGTGCCATTGACTGGAGCATGAACGTGCAGAACAAGTATAGGCAGGCTGCTGGATCACAACCAAATAACCCACAGCAGAAGGCATAATCCTGCTCCATCCACTGAGCGCTGAAACGTGTTCTGAGTCTTTGAAGACATTAGCTGATGAGTTTGAGGAGTAGCTACTGATAAAGATCTAAATGGGGTGATTTCCAAAGCATACATTTCAGCCTACATTGAGCAGGTAAAAGTGGAAAAAATAAGGTATCTCTAGCAGTAGGTTGGCCATGGAAAATTTCAAGTAGTCTGAAACGTGGCAATAGGAGAGTTTCTCAGTGAAATGTTTTTCTGCTTGAAATAGTTTTATTTCATAAGGATATGCCTCTTATTTTGTCCTTGGAAAAAAGATTCCTCTTGGCTGATATTTACAAATAGAGGAAAGAAAAAAAAAGCCAGAGGTGGACAGTTGGATGGAAAACTGGAATTGAAATCATTCGTATATGGCCAAGTTGCAGGTGACTGAATAGCAGCAGTACAGCAAGAAAAGGTTGGCATCAACTCCCAAAAGGTAACTGTGCTGTGTAAATACACATATATATGTAATTTCATACAAGGTAACTTTTGTGTTGGTGTTTTAGGGTGAAGAAGGATCCCCTGGATTTCCTGGACTGAAGGGTGATAAAGGAGAAAAAGTAAATCTAAGCCTTTATTTATTACACTGTGTAAAGTGTAGAACTTTATAAAGCTATTGAGGAAAGCTTCCCTTCTTGGAAGTCTTTTTCTTTTACCTCTGTGTTTTCTTGTTATATTAGCAAAGTTCTGTAAAGAGAAGAATTTGTTGCTGTGCTGTTTATCCGCAAAATATCCTTTCACTTCTAAACCTGATGAGTAACCATGCTCAGCCACATCTGAAAAATGCGCGGAGACTGCAAGGGCAGGAACTTTGTCTGAAGTCTTTAAAACACTGAACAGAATAGAAGACGGCTCGGAGCTAAATGCTTTCTCATACTGAAATACCAGTTTCTTCAATATGGGACATGGAAGGCAAAAGATTATTGTGTCTTTTTTTCGCTCTGAACACAAATAACCTTTTGGTTGAGATGGCCTTTTGCTGCTTAGCAGCCTCATAAAAAAAAAAAAAAAAAAAAAAAAAAACCCAAAACAAAACAAAACAAAAAAAAACACAAATAACCCCCCACCAAAACTCCCTCCAAAATCCCAATATTATCCAGGACTGAACTTGCTCTATCAGCTAGTATTTACTTTGGATACTTTTGTCAGAAATATCTTAAATGCCATTTGCAGGAGGGATTATAAAAATTTAGACATTTTCCACCTGTTATAAAACAGCAAATGTTCAGGACTGTAAGTCAAGAGCTCACTCTAATTAATGCACAATATACTCGTTCTGTTTAATCAGTGCTCCTGTGCTTGCCAATTGCAGAGCCTGTTTGTCATTTGATCCTTTTTTTTTTTTTTTTAACATAATCCACTTTAAAAAAGACAAACCTGCTGAAGATCCCAGAAGTAAAAACACTTGGTCCGTTCCTTACCACATACGAGAGCTTGCCCGTTCTGTGTCTATTCTCTTCCCATTTATTCCTTAAATTGCCAGCTGCACATAGAAAAACATGGCTTTCCCCTGTGTTTACTGCCAGCCTCAACATACTTAGTCCCATTCAGCCTGGTGGGCAGACAGATTTCAGAAGCAATGCCTGTTTTTTCTGCTATCATTATTTTTTGCCCTCCAGCTTTGCATGTTACCAGCTCTGAGACTCACTTCCCTGGAGGTTAAGTAGTTCCTAAGGACTCTTGAGTTTTTCAAGGCTTCTTTTTTTGCTTTTAGGCTCTTTACATCCGCATTACAGCTATGCCTAGAGGCTTCTGAGCTTTGAGGTGGATGCTGTACAAGCACGGAGTCAACAATAAATAATAGTAATAATAATAATAATAATAACAACAACAATAAAAAATTAGTACTTAGTTACAAAAACAGCAGATTTTTGTGACTATGGAAGACTGGAGAGGCTGAGAGGAGATGATATTAAAATGATTCAATACTTCAGTATCTCATGAGTTGCACAACCTTTATATTAATTTATTCTAAAGTGAGATAAGTCAAGGCCAAGAGTGTCTGGTTCCTCATTAACAGCTCATCAATTGGTCATAGTGTGTTAATGTTAGCAGTAGCTCCTCCAGAGACTGTAAATAATAAATGTTTGCATTGAAATAATTCTTCTCATTCCTTATTCTTGTTTTGCTTGTATCCTTGCACTTGCAACTGTTGTTAATACTGTGCTGATGACAGTTCTGTTGTTGTTACAGGGGTCCCTTGGCTTGCCTGGCACCCCGGGGAAGGATGGAGCAAAAGGAGAAGCCGTAAGCCTTTTCATTCCTCCTGTGTAATCCTTGCCTTTCAGTGAAAGCCAGGCAGTGGAAATCAATCTGTATTGAGTGGAACATGCCTTGGGGATTTGTATGACAATTTTAGGAGCAGCAGAAACAAATGGCAGGAAGTTAATAGCCTCACCAGTCACTAGTAGTAAAGGAGAGTGTCATGTGGATTAGCCATCCTGAGCTAGCCCAGGGTCAGCTCTGTTGCTGTTCGTTAAGCTGGTTGAGGAGGGTGGCAACTTTTTACTATAGATATCATTGGGGAAGAGTCTTTAAAATCTTATTTGCTGTCCTCTTTTGGCAGCCATTTGGTGGTGATTGGATGAACTTGGGGAAAGAACTCATTGGAAGGGCAGAAATGCACAAAAGTAACGATACATATCAGAAAAGCTCTCGTTTTTCTGTCATTTACATCCTGTTTCTGCTTTGTGCAACACTGGGAACTTGTCTCACTTGGACAGGTGTGTGATAATTTTCTTGTATTGCTTCCTGAATGGATGCAAACTTCCTGCCTGGCACAATCTGTATTCAGACAGCAACTTATGTGGATTTAAAGAATTTCTTATAGGATCTATTTATTGCATCCATCAAATGTACTACGTTATCTCCAGGGACTCAGCAATTGCAGATTGTAGTTGGTGTGAGCTGTTTACTACTTACAGAACCCATTTCTTGCTATTTAAGAGGCTGGGTTTGAAAAATGCATGAATAGCCACTTCAGTTTTCAACTTGTTTCTTCTAGCTTTTTTTTTTTTTTTTTTTTTATTTTTTTTTTATTTTTTCAAAGAAAGCACAAAGTAGATTTTCAAATCTCTGCATAATGGTACTCAGGACTGTGGATAGAGTTTCCATTCCTAAAGCTGTAAATAATGACTGTTCTAGTCCCAGAATATTGCTGTTATTTACAGGGCGAACCAGGACAACCAGGAGCATTTGGATTGCCTGGGCCAGCAGGTCCAAAGGTAGGCTTGCCATTTCTTCTTTACATGGGTAAGTGTATCTTTTACACTGACTTTTTATATATGTGGATTGCTTGGGTAATTGTCTTTTTCTTTGTGACTCCTTTGTTTTCATTGGTGAATGTACAAGCTCAAAATGCTCGTTTCTATCAAGACGTCTGATAGCATACCAGACACTAGGTATGGCATATAAAGAGACTACCTCTTATTTGATCAACAGTATAGCTGGAGAAGTTGAAGAGAGCACATTTTGCTTCATGTTTTCGATAAATGTTCTCAACTTTCGCAAACATTCAGGTGAGAATTATTGTCACTGCTCTGCAACTGGAAAAATAAAATCATGGTAGATCCCTAGACTGGATAATTACGTTTCTGTCCATTATGGGAGTTTCACTATGCACCAGTAGACAGTGGCAAAACGTCACAGAACTTGAGCCATCCATTATATTACTGCATCAAACAATGTGCATCTGAATGAGCATTCGGTGAGGCTTGGCTTACCATCAGAAAAGTGCCTAAGCTTTGAAGCCCTTCACATGAGCAATGCTTTGTCCTCTTTCCAAAATCTCAGCTCTCCTTGCCTCCCTGGTTAGTGAGAGGATAACTAACCAACAGCTACTTTCATCTGTCTTCATAAAACAAAAAGAAGATGGCTCATTACACTGATGAGTGTTTTTCTTAGGGACGTTATGCACAGCAAGCTCAGTTCAGCCTATGAAAGGTGAGGCAAGGATAATGGATTGGTTGCTCAGACTTCCTTGATCCAGTTCTGCTCCCATACCTGCAAAGGTGTTTGAGTGTCACATCTTTCTGGAAGAGCTATCTGGCTAACGAAACCTCCTGTTGATTTCACTTATAGCATTGTTCTCAAGTAGGAGTTAAATGCCTGAACACCATTCTAGATGTCATCCTGATGGTCATCTGGCTCTTTCTGAGAGGACTCCATGAAGCAGTTAATTCATGTAGATTCTTCTGGGTGTCTCATGTACAGAGGCTCGTTCTCCAAAATGTCTAGTTTTCATTGAGGGAAATGTTCATCATTTCCTTAAGTCTCATTAGGAGGGTATCAGAAATAATGGTGTATTTGTGGACTAGTGGAAATACTTGGCAGTCATCCCATGGTTCTCTGCAGGAATTGTATTGCTATCAGCAACATGAAGGGTTTGATTGTGGAAGTGGCATGGCAGCATGTTCAGCAGGGGATAAATGACGTCTGTAAAGCAAGGCCGGGCTGAGTGTGAAGGAACTCTGGATGTTGTTTTGCCCTTCAGTGGAATTAGGAAGTAGATGAAATGATGGGATTCATCACTCAGAAATGACTATCAGCTGCATATCATCTATTATATAATAAACAAATATGTGTTTTCTCTATGCCCTGCATATTTTCCCATAGTGGAATTAAAAGCCTAAAAGGCTGTACAGTGCCCTGTTTCCTTGTGTTGTGAAGTCTCTCACTCTTGCTTTACAAAGCTTTTAAAATCAAGCTAAATTGAGTCTATTATCTATAGCTCCAGAAGGGATTGATTCTGGAAAAAGCTCCATATTTCCCACAAGGTGAAATAATGAGACAATCTGAGAGTAAGTTCAGCATTATGAGCTGGGCAGGATAGATGTTGATAGGTGTTGACCTATCAACATCTATCCTGTTTGATTTAGACACTGCCAAGTGCTTCCAGGGAAGAGGTGAGCTTGGCTATCCCCAGCCTCTAAGCTACAGTAGCTAAACATAAAATGACTGTGTGCTTTCATAGTGACTTTTACTTATTTTAATGGATGCACTGACTATATGTGATGTCCTTGAGCTGGATCCTGGCCTGAGCTATTTTAAGCAGTAATCCACGTTTTGTTGACAGGACTTTAAAATTAAAAATATGAATCAACATTCCTTTGTAAAGCCCAGCTTCCTTGCTTCTGTGGAATGGATTGTATAGAGATGGGTAGAGTTAGTATTAGAAAGGTCATATCTCCAATTGCTGTTGTAATGATTACTTTTTGCCTGATCACTTATTTTCATTTTAAATCATCAGCATCAATACAGTGGGTTCATGCTCTCCCCCAAGCTCCATGGAGGGCTACCTTGCAGTTTTCTCTGGTGATTTGGGATGTGTTCCTTCCAACTCAGTCATGTTCATTTCCATTAAGGCTGTCAAGTGCAGCAGTGCTCAGAAACTGTGCATGCACCCTAGGAGGTTGAGCACCCTGTTTATCTGCTTGGCTGAATGATTTCCAGTCTTTTGCCTCAATAGCAATTGCCAGCAATTTCTTCTAAAGAAGTGCAGGTTTTACAGACCTCATTAATTATGTGATGAAATTTCCAATAGCACAGAAAGGAATCCTGCAGACTTCTGGTAATAGGACTTCAATCCCCAGAGGTACCCTAAATGGATGATTAGGGTACACATATGGATTACAGGAATGAAATGCCCTTGATAAGTCATCTCTGGCTTTTACAGCTTTTGCTGCTCAATGAAGTCTTCAAGGTAGATTGTTTCTGGCTCAGTGTCTTCATCATGAAAATTATTTTCTTCACTCTCCAAGCTATGTGGGTAAACTTCAGTGCTCACCAAAATGGATATTTGATCTTGCTGGCTGCAATTGGGTAGAAGCAAAGAAGAGCTCTCAGCGCTTGCCTTGTGCTGATCAGGGTCAGAATGTGGTTATAGAAGATGCTGTGGTAGACTGGGATGGAAAGAAATATCCATTGTTCAGTGGAGAAGCCTCTCACGTAAATACATGGGAGCCAGAAAGATACTGAAATGGAATAAGTGGGTTCAAAGTAAAAAGAGTACAGTACAACCCCTTCATGATATGGCATTGTAGCAGTTAAACAAAGCTTGAATTGTTGAGACGACCCTTTAGCTTTTCCAATCCTGCAACAAATACCCAATTTTCCCTCTTTTTTTTTTCCCTCTACATCTTTAATAAAAGGTTAAAGAGATTTTCTCATGGCTGTCATTGCTGTAGAACTGACATAGACCTAGCATTGCTATCTGAACTGACAGATATCTGCACTTAATAGAAAAACAGATGGAGAAGAAAAAATAAGTATTTGAAGTTTTAAGTATTAAGTAAGGTTTTAATTTTGACAAATTTCCTCATTCTTGTTCACTTCAGCTGTCGAAGGTCTCACACTTCTCTGGTTTACCAGACATGATCTCAGCACAGGCCTTGAGTGGGATCAGCAAGTCTTCCCAGACAAATCCACTTTCTCTATCTATAACTTTTGCTGACTGTTATAACCATGATTTATGTAACAGTCTGAGTTGGATGTTGATAATCTGGACAACTAATAGCAGGCTTTTGTTTCCCGAGAGGTTTTACCTGAAATTTGATAGTATTATTTTTCTGCACTCTGAGGACAGATTAAGCGTGTGCCTGCTCTTTCTCTGCTCTTAGAGAACTTCCACAGCTGACACTGCAGAGGTCCTCAGGTGCCAGATGATGTAGAGGTCTCAGAGCCAACTTTGACTGTGCGTATACTCAGCTCTTGTTAACTTGTTTGTGAATCTCCCCAGGACTCTGTGGCATGGTTGGTTTCCATACTGAACACTCGTTCAATTCTTTTAAAACTGGGCTGATGAACTGCTCACAAGCTTCAGGGCACGGTTTCCTCTGTTTTAAAGAACAAAGTCCTCTGTGGCAAAAGGAGGGGACAGTTTTGGCAATGCTTTGCTTAAAACAGTTGTGAGAAGCTTGCCAACTACAGTTCAGCCAGCCTGCCAGGTTTGTGCTTAACAACTGTTGCAAATGAGATTGTCATTTGGACTAAGGCAAATTGTAAACAGTGGTGCAGCATGAACAGCCTCCAGAACACTTGTGTTGGGACAAAAAAGCCCCATTTCTGCTAACAGTTCATTGAAGACAAGGACTGTGTTTTTAAATCTTTTTTTTTTTTTTTTTTTTAAATTTAAATATATATATTTTAATAAGAAACATCCATCAATAAGAAATGCAGAAATAATTTTAAAATGCAATCCTGATCTGTTTCAAAGCCCTATCCAATGCAGCAATCCAGTGCTGAAATTAACCAGATGGGTGATGTAAAAAGAAGGAAAGTCAGATAGGAAACAAGATAATTGGCCAGGAATATGATGTAAGAAGCCAACCAAGAAAGCCTTGGCTACCTTGTCAGGCCAAAGCGGTCACCACAAGTTTGTTCAGAGGGCCGATCCTATTCATCTGGGGATCCAGACCATTAACAGGTGTTGAAGGGCACATGAAAGCAATCAGTAAGAGTGCTTTCTATTTAATTTTACCATCTCTAGGAAGAAAATCAGTGCACAACCAGCTGAAGAACTTTTGAAACACCTCTGATATTCTTGTGTTTCTCTTATCTACAGTGAAGATGTAGTCTATTTTGCCTTTGGGAATATAGAATCATGGTACAGCCTAGAATGGAATGGACCTTGATCATAAGATCCAAACTTTTGTGAGAAGAAGGAATCTAGATGATGCTATCTGACTGGATGTTGTGTTGAGGGACATGGTTTAGTGGGAGCTATTGGGAATAGGTGAACGGTTGGACTGGATGATCTTTCAGGTCTTTTCCAACCTTGGTGATTCTATGATTCTATGATTCTATCTAGCGCCCTGTCCAGTCATGATTGAAAACCTCCATGATGGAGATCCTACCATGTTCCTCGGGAGATTGCTCTAGTGATTCATTGTTCTCACTGCAAAAAAAAATTCTCTCTTACATCAAAGTAAAACCTTTTTTTTTGTAGCTAGTACACAGTTTCCCCTTTTCGTCTTCTCCATATGTCTCTTTCTGAAAAGAGAGCCTTGGTATTCTTTGTAGCCACCCTTTAAATACTGGAATAGTGTGATGAGGTACCTCTGAGCCTTCTCTACTCCATGGTTACAAGACTGCTTCAGTCTTCCCTCATGGTTCACGTTCTCCAGACCTTTGATCATGTCTGTGGTTCTCTTCCTTTGAACCATTTCTGCATCTTTTATGAATTGCTGGGACCAGAACTGGACACAGTACTGCAGGTTTTGTCGAACAGGATATGATTTGCCTTCAGTGATGCAGCTGACTCATGTTCAGTTTGTTGTCTACCAGGGCACCATGGTCCCTTTCAGTAACAAAGATCCTAGCCTGTACAGGGTTCTGTTGTTGTGCCATTGCAGGTGCAGGACTTTTCTCTTGTTAGTGTAGTCATGTAGTTGTTTCTTGCCTGCTCTTTCTGCCTGCCAGGTCTTTCCATTAAATGTCTTTCCCTTTTAATGGGACCACCTCACCACCCGAAATGACCTCGAGATGGAAGCTTCATAAGATAGTTTGCCTTTGTAGGGCAATACTGAAAGCAGAAGAGTAAAACTTGCTATTGCCTGTTTGTATTGCAGTAGGGACAGCAAAAAACAGTAGGGTGCCACTTTGGGTAAGTAGATGAAAAGTCAAGTGCTACTCTGTATATTAGTGCTGAGACAGTCAGGAAGTCTCAACAGATTTCTATAAATCAAGAAGTATGTTACATTTCTGAATAAGTGTTTTTTTCCTTAGTCTTTTATGTGAAAATGTTTGTTATTTTACTTTATCTCAATTCTTTGCCAGGGATCTGAGGGAAAACAGGGTCCCCCAGGTATTAAAGGCTACGTAGGAGCCCCGGTAAGTTATGATTATTATTAAGTTTTTGATACTCTAGAAACTTTATCCAATTTTTCAGTATGTTCTGCCCACTATTTTTTTTTTTTAATTAACCTGCATATTGTGTATCTGACCTCTTACCTGTACTGTGCCCAAACTGTAACACTTTCTTGACTTTATTGAGTTTCTTCTGACTTCTTTAAATGAGATCTGTACCTAGAGAATTGTCAGTAATAATGACTTGATTACCAAGATAACAGCTGGGAATTTTGTGATACTCCCACTGTAATGCAATTGCTTTGGTCTGTGTTGATGCACCATTTATACGGTGCTTGAAAACTTCATCATAGCACCAAACAGAAACACCAATTGTCAGCAAATTTCCAATCATATTTTCAAAACTGTCAGTAAGCAACACTTTGGGCTCATGGGACAAACTTGCCTTGAATGAGTGGACAGCAATACCAAAATAAATCATGTTGTCCCTGTCTTGTGGTCTCACCTTTCTAATTACACAAGCAGTCTTAAAGCAGGTGTTGCAAAGACTGATAGGAGTTTTTGGTTTTTAATAACCTGGCTATACATCAATGTGCTTTAGTGGCATACCAGACATGTTCACATACTGGAAGATTTCCCTTTGCCAAGGTCTTTCTTTAAAACTCACTACAAAGAGGCCCAACATGTTCAGAATAGTGTGGGCACTTTTGTCTTTGCACAGGTGCATGCAGCTTCGCTGTAGAGCTGAACTCAGTTTAGCCTGAAGAAAACAACATGAGTACAGTTCAGGCATTACCTCATTACCTGCCCATGCTGCACATTCTTGAAACATGAATGAGATAAATGGACAAAGATCTGAGAATATTCACTCCTGCTCCTTGACTTTCCTTTATGTATGAGAAACAAAGCATCTGCATGTAGTACACTGTCACTAGAGACTGTGTTCATCTCCATCATCAGACTGACATTTGGCTTGAGTTGGGGAGCAACAAGGCTGCAATCATCCACACAGTGTATATGAGGGCCCCATGGTTATTGCTGCATTAAAAGAGCCATGTTTAAAACCTCACCTCATCTGTTTTTTGGAAATAGTCTGGTTATTGCTTTGCAGTATGAAAGCAGTGCATGCTCATTTCAGGTCATTAGAGATAGACAGGACTGTGCAGTTAGCTCACAGTCAGGCATAGCATGAAATCTGAATATCGTAATAGTTAGATAAGTTATCCTATGGAACAAATAATTCCAGACAGATAGTTCTCATTAGCTTGGAGTTCAGTCTTCAGTGTAGTGTAAAGTTTAAAAATAAATATATTATAATAAATGATTTAAGCTTCAGCAGTTTTAGAAAGGTCACTACTGACTGAGCGTATTTGTCTGCCTGTAGCCATTAGCTGATTGCACAGTTGCTACAAAATAGATGGTGCTTCCTGTGCCAAGAGAGAGTGAAATCCATTCCTGCCCATTGAGTTGATCTCCAGTGTTAGCATTGCTGTCATTCATCAAACCAATCTCCAGCAAATTATTCTGATGTACCAGGGAGGAGATGAGTTATACCATCCAGTTAAACTCCAGCACTGGTTTCACAGTGCACAAATACACTTTGTTCTCCAGGACAGGGATTATTTAGCATTTGTTGATTCTCAGAGGTACCTGCTGTCTGTCTAGCTACTGCATCCAAAACCACCAGGAATGGGCATTCTTCCTTGTTTATGCAATAGGTTTTTCCAGCAGTATTGTCTTTTACCTAAGTTCTTATTGTTTGCGAGCAATATGAAAAATGCTCAGCGCTGGATGGTTTCCAGATCATCTGCAGCTGTGATGTGTTCCCTGTCCCTCCACACTGCTGCTGGCAGGAGGATTAGGTGTCTGGGAACAATTGCAGAGTTGCAGCAACATATTATTACACATGGTCTTGGGACCACAGGTCATCCTCGCTCTGTGAATCTTCTTAGACCATGCTTGTGGCCAACTCTGAGGACTGGTAACACAGTAAATGTCCTTGAGGGTTACTTGAATAGATTGTGCAGGCATCCATTGATTTGGTGACTAATTGGAGGAATTATGTGCCTTCTTGCATTGAGTTGTGTAATCTCTTTTTCCTCTTATTTCTAGGGTTTACAAGGAGAAAGAGGAGAAAAGGGAACACGAGGAGACAAGGTATTCCTTCTGCATACTTCAAAAAGCCACACTATTCTTTACCTTTGTCCTTTAGGCCAGCAGATCTGAAGGGTAATGATGGAGAGTTTTTTAACTGCTCTGCACCTTCTAATACTGTCCACAAATGGCCTCCCGTGAGAGTGCAGGAGGAGTTTGCAGATCTTTGCTGTCTACTAAGCTTACATTTAGATCTGTGTGTAGCTGGGGAGGGAGAAAAAGAGAGGAAGATTTGGATGATAGGATGCCATTGAGTAGAGTTAGTGGGGTGTCCACACTGTGCACAGTGTGATCTCTAAAATAAGTCTTCATCCAGCATTTCTCTGTCTCACTGTAGTTTCTGAAATTATACAACGTCTACATTTCTGTATTCTCTCATCACTATAAGCTCAGTTTTTTATGAGTACAAGGTAGTTTCTCTATTAAGAGCTTAGTCCAACAAGTGCTGCTTCCAATTTCCTGCCCTCTTCTGTCTGGAATTAGTGGTTTTACACAGCATAGGATTCTCTGGGATTTGAACTACGATGGTTTAAGGAAAGAAATGAAGCGCCCATTATACCCACACTGTGCATTTAGAAGGAGAGCCAGGCAGACACAGAGTTTTTCATTATTTCAGTTTGCTCATCATGTTTGGAGAGATCTCAGATATGCCCACATTTTGCTGCAGACCTGCCAGCTAGTGCTCAAAGTTTCTTAGATATAACACTGCCAGGAGAAATGGGTGCTGGGCAGATCCTGCTCTGAAAAACGATGGGACATATGGCACAACCATGCTCTCAGCCCAGCCAAAGTTGTCCATCTTTTCCTCCAGGCAGGACTGGCTTGGTATGTTGTGTATAGTTTCCTCTGCTGCTTTTCTGGAGGTGAAGTTGTCTAATCTGCTGGAATATTTGGTTCCCAGAAGGAAATCCATCTTTCTGACATCACTATGATGGGAGAGGAAGCTGGAGATGTGTGTGGGCTGATGACTGATTAAACTAAAGAAAGATTGAAGTGCAAAAGAGATGAATTAGGTTTTGTTTCATTACAAAGATACGAACAAACAGTGATTGTTTTTTTACTCTCCTTTTCCTGTATTTTTTTCTATTCTTTTTCCTGAAGCAGACAGATCTCTGCTACAGCAATTGTGCTTTGATTTTTTTCTTGACTCTAATGCTCTTCTCAGAGCACCCACTGCCATTACTTTAACTTTCACCAGCTGCTATTGCTGCAGAAAACAGTGGGCGTTGATGTGGCGGGCCAAATATTTCCCTGTCTGCTCTTCAGTCTGTAATTTGAAGACTGACACCTACGCAACCTGTGTTTCTTCTCTGCCTGAGAAGAAGAGTGTTTATCGCATCACACAAAAGTGCTAACCCATGCACTGAGTATTGGTCTATTCATAGAATCTCACAGAATCATTAAGATTGAAAAAGACCACTAAAATCATCTAGTCTAACCATCAACCCATCCCCGTCATGCCCTCTAACTCATGTCCCTCAGTGCCACAGCTACCTTAGTATGTCTAATATGACAAAAGACCTAACATCCCATGGTAGTATCCCATCTTGCCATTGTGTTCTTATATCCTATGACCCCTAATGAAAATACTGAGGTTTTATAGTGAGGCTCCCAAACCCAGAACTGTTGGTTACATCTCCACTTCAGGAGACCCGCTGCATAAAGGAAGTGACAGCTCACATCTTTTTGTGTCCAGCGGGCTCACTGTGGACTTCCGTAGAATTCTGTTTTCAATATATCAGTGCATACTGTTGTATCAGTTTCTTTCAGCAAGGGAAGGAAAGTGAGTGCCAAAGTGAAAATTTGAGAATAAATCTTTTGGAGATTTTTTTTTTCTTTTCAGGAAAAATTTACTTTACCTAAATGGCCTTTTTCAAAGAAAGAAAAAAGTAATATACAGTAACAATTTTTTTTTTCTGAAGAAACATTGGAACGCACAGTTCTTTGGAACAGTTACAAACACCTCTAGTGTCTGCATTTGTATAAATAATACATTCGCCTTTCCCAGTTACTAGCAGTAGGAATATTGACTCTTTTCTGTTTTGGCAGATGAATGAGCATGTGTGAAGTACTCACTGCTGCAGTGTATTGATGCTAAGACATTCTCTTGAGGATAGAGTGCTCATTTTGTCAGCAACCCACCAGATTGTCATTTCCTGCAAGTCTCAGATTCAGGATGCTCACAGTTCAGTTAGGCATTGCAAATGTTTTTGTGAACTTGGAAACTACTGCCCCAGTATCAAGTAGGTCTGGATATCTTACAGTGGTTTTTCAGCTGCTTTTTGTAGGGTTTCTCTCTAATTTAACTCCCTGAGTGCATCTTTTTGAAATAACCTTTTGTTATGAGGCTGGTTGATTGTCTAAAGGGCAAAAATAAATCAATTGATTTGCAAATCCATTTCTGAATGCTAAATTAAGGCAGACTTCAAATTAAATCCAATGCAAATAATAACAAAGGTCTGATAGACTTACTGTGGGATATTGATAAGAATTAAAAATTTCAGAAAGTAAAACAAAAAACAAAAAACAAACATACAAAAAAAAGTAAAGTTAATACTCTGCTCTCTGCCGTTACTCCTTGTTTACAGTTTGTTTTTACATGTACTTTTATGTTAGCACTAGCTGTGTGTGCATCATTTGATCATTTGAATTTAGCAGCATGTGCAGGATTGAGGCAAAAAGTGTTATGTTTACACAGATTTGAGCAATTATGCAGTAAGAGAAAGACCCTATTCAAAAAGTTTTAAACTGAAGTGGCTACATGGGAAAGGGGCACAATCTCTAAGGAAAAATAAGTTTAATGAGAGCATGGGATCTTGTCATCATTTCTCTTGAGAACCTGCTTTATAAAATATGAAATGTGTGTATTAAGTTTGACTATGGGGGTACAGTAGAGGTCAGGATCAGAATTCAAAATGGTCCCTAAAATGTAATACAGCAGAGCTGAAGTTGACAGAAGAGTAAAACAGAAGAGTAGTCTACAAATTGTGAAATAATCTTTCTTCTCAGAGCTAGCATCAGCTGAGCTCAGCTTCAGGCATCCAGTTACAGTGCAGCATGGGAAAATTGAATAATGCCCAAATAAGAGAAGCAAAAATGATAAGAGGTCTGAAAAATATGCCCTTTAAGAAAAGTTGAAAGTATTGAGGTTGTTTAGTCTGGGGTTTGAAGTTCTAAGGGGAAGTTTTCTAAGTCTTCAGATACATAAAAGGCCATTGTAAAGATGAAGGGAACAGCCTGTTCTTTCTCTCCAGGGGGCTTAGGAAAGAAGTACTTGCTTGAAACAGTAGCAAGAAAAGTCAAGTTTAGATATAGGGTAAAAAATATATCTACAGGTATTGAAAGTAAAGTAGTGGAATAAATTGCCTGTGGACTTTAGGGGACTGTACATCTCAGAAAGCATGTTAGAACAGATTAATTGATTCCTCAGGTTAAGGAAAACAAAGGCGAAAAATAAAGCATTTATCTGTCTAAAAGTGACCTGTTGCTGCATTGTGGCTTCATTATTTTTGTTAGAGCTGTTCCAGATTGATATTCTCCTGGTACAATTTATCTGGTTTACATGGACCTGGCTCAGCAGGCAGAGGACGGATGCCCAGGTGGAGATCTGGCATACAACCACTTCTCATCTCAAAATTCACATCTCAGATACCCGATGCTGAGTTTTCTAGACAGACAAGTGGCAACACTTAGCAAAGTTATAAGGGATAAAAGTTTATTAATCACTGCACTTGGCTCACCTCATTTCTGGATGCTCCCAGCAATTTTGTGGAGTACAGTTCTTCAGGCATTTTCCCTATTGGGATTATATGAATTGCTCTTCTTGTATCTTCATGCTTGAAAGGAATAACGTAGATGGCTCTTGTAGAACACTGGTCCAAACATCATAGATTTGTTATAATGGTTCTTTCTCATCCTCCTCCAGGGAGAGCGAGGTTTAGACGGGTTCCCAGGAAAGCCAGGTGTGGAAGGAAAACAGGTAAATCCTCAACTGGAGGCTTTTCTTTGCAGTGAGCACAAGTTGCTTTAAATCTGTGAGCTGTACTGGACAACTGGTGAGTTATGGCAGGACTCTTGCATCTGCAGTTTTTAGAAACCTTATCCTAAGGCTCTGTGTTGGCACACTTTGATGTTCCTTATTATTTTTTCCTCACTTTTTCTTTTTCTCTTTTCCCCTTATTTTACTTTTTTACACCTTTTCTTCTTTTTCTGTTTTTCTTTTTTCCTGGTTTTTTTTTTTTTCCTTCTATTTTCTCTTTTCCTTTTCTCTTTCCACTTTTATTTTTTCATTTATTTATTTTATTTATTTATTCAATAGGGTAGAAGTCTGTCTGAATTTTCATTAAAGACTTAAGGAAGCATACATAAAAATGACTTTTATAAAGTTGTGGATTTTTCCCACCCACAACTTGAAAGGAGGAGAACTGGATTTAATGTGTTTGATTTCTTTTTCAGTATAAAATCTTGGAACTATTTGCATTTTTGAAACAAGATAAAACTGGAAAGATATTCTATAAAATCAGTACACTTCCACTGATTAGAGAGATAATGCTCTGTCTGTATCTAAAACTACTTTCCATACATCCCACAAGATGTTTTCATTACTCAGAGTACTATACCTAATGACAGACATTCTTAAGGATCTTCTGGTCTAAAAAGCAGAGGATGGAGTAGGAAGAAAAGACTAAAATGGGTTGTGATTTGGCAAAAGTCATGCAGCTATTGTTGTCACCCTTGAGCCTACTACATCTGCATTCTAGTCACTATCCGTCACTGCTCCCTCTGTGTAAAGGGTCATTTGAATGCATGTTTTCTCATTTGCAGAAGTTGAGAAGCTGCCTAACTACTTTGCTTTTGCTCCTTTGGAAATCAGAGGATCGATTTGATTTGGTTAGGAAGTCATTTTGCTTCCTGTTCAGATTATTAAGATGGCAAGGTATAGTGTCGTAAACAATCCTAGCCTTTGTTAAACTACACCTTCCTTTCTGCGAGGCGATAGAGATTATCATGCTACTTTTTTTTTTTCTTTTTTTTTTTTTCTGTTTCTCTGTGGGAGGTTTGATCATTAATCATCACTTTCTCTCTGCTCTGTTCCTCAGCCATGTTTTATCCTATACTATGAAGTATTTCTCATGTTAGTGTTTATCACTATCCTTATAAGACGGAAATGTTTCCTGGTGTGAGATGTGGCACTGCAATCTCAATGAACTATGTTCACTGTGCCCATTGCGTTGTTTACAAAACTGCACTTGCAACAAATGTGGATGAAGCAAGAAATTGCAAAAAGATGTAAAGGTGGATGCTGATGTTTACTGCTTCTCAGGAACAATTTCTCCAGCTGACAGCCTATTACAGAAGTTGCGTTATTCTGAAGCTTTTCTGCCTTTTTCATGTCTTGACACTTAGCAGTGGGCAAATCTTCAAGCCTGCACTTTATCCTAAATTTTTGACACTGATATACTCCTTGATGTGCAATCCTCTTCAACCAGCTGGAATTGGAGGGCTGTTATCATGCTTGCCATGGCATCTCCATCCTTATTCCCCTTCTTGTCTATGTAGTAGAGACAAAGCAGTCTTGTGTGCATTAGCTTATACTGCTGTGCAGTTGGACATAGCTGATTGCAGTGTTAACATCCAAACCTGCAACCTTCTGTTTCCCCACTACTTTAAGGGAAACTGCAATTGGTGTATGGTGCATGTAAAACAAAGTTTTTCTTTCTTTTTTTTTTTCCTAGGGTCCTGCTGGCAGCCCAGGTCCTCCAGGTGGCAGTGGGCCCAAAGGAGAAAAGGTGAGTTGGGGTGGCATGCATGGAAGAGGTTTGAAGACACATTTATTACTTCCTCCATGAGCCCCAGTGCTGGAAATATCAGGGCTGTCGGCTTCTTTTTTCATTTGTGTGTAAGAGAAACTTGTATAGAAATAATTGTGTAACTTTTCTGATATTGCTTCAGTTAGACATAGGCGTAAGTGAGGAGTAAAACAGATCTGGTTATAGCTCTGCTGCTCAAGGCTTAACCTTCTTTGTGGAAGTAAAATAACTTCATTATTTTGCAGGGTTACTAAAGTTTCCAGGACAACCTTATCTTTTCCTTCTTGCTCATGCTGACATGTTTTTGATATTCCCTATTTCTTTAGCATAAATAGGAAGATATGCCTAGCTCTGGGTTTTATTTCTCCTTTTCTCATCCAGGTAGTGAGCCTTACCCAAGAATACAGACATCAAAATGAATCCAATTATTTTCTGATTCATATTCAGAAGTGAGGTTTCAGAAGGAGAGCTTATCCATAGGTTGGACTTGATGATCTTGAAGGTCTCCTCAACCAAGCGATTCTCTGATTTTCTTATTCTGTGGAGTTAACAAGAGATAGGAAGATATTTGTGCTTCAGCATGAGTGAAGCAAAGAACAATCTTGATTCATAAGTCTTTGTCCTTATCTCTTTTGTGGCTGCATCTGGCTCTTCCAGAAAACGTTTAGCTCCTTGCTCCATTTTCACTGTAGATGATGTTTGCCTCTTCATGCTGTGGACCTTCTTTAGAATAAATAACCAATAGTAATTAAACTTGTCTTAAGAGAAAAGAAAATGAATGGTATGTCGGTTCAAGCAGAGACTTACATAAATAATGAAGAAATAGAGTGTGAAAGGTAGCTAAATGATCATTTTTGCATTGGACTGTACCTAAAGTAGAGGAGATACTTTCTGGAGTCTTAGTCTTAAAGCATGATAAATAGTGGGCTCTGCTGGAGACGAACTGCTGGAACAAATTGTTAGCCTGCGTGGCAGTAAATCATGCAGAGTGGATGTAGCATCTCAGTGCTAAAGCAAATACTTATAACGTCATTCTGCACTGTAAAAATGACTTGAGGAAAAAGGCACCATTTTAAGGCAGTATTGCTGGAATTGATGTATGTCAATGATTATAGTAACAGAAGACAATCAGTTCCTGCTTGTATTCATATGCAGAGTGGAGAAAAGTTAAATGGGGTTGCATATTCGTATCTATCAACTCTGGGATGGTACAGAAATTGGAAAAAGCTGAGAGGTCTGCTTTTGCTCTATGTTATGTTTTGTGTTATGTTGTGCTTTGTCTTACCTTACTTTTTTTCTTTTTCTTTTTCATTTTTGTTTTTTTTTCCTGCAGGGTGAACCAGGGCTTCCCGGATTGCCAGGGTCTTCAGTAAGATTTTTGTTTTTGTTATCTTAATCAAATATTGTAAGCTTTATTGTGTGAAAATAGAAGATGGGAGATGGGAATTTGAAGGCTCTCTTAAATGCAATATTCTTAAATGGATTTAAAAAAGTGAAATTTATGCCAGTTAAGATTTATGAAGATAAGTTAAATAAGGAGATGTGCTGCCAATAATTTTGGGAGATTTTGAAGTGTGAAGATGAGGACTTGAAAAGAAAGCATCACCTCAGGTACATCTGATAAAGCAATGCTGTGACATGACTGTGAGTTTTCCATGATGGTCACAGAGCCACTGCCGACAAAAGTGGAAAAGAGAGCAAACTGAGAACATAAGGAGAGGCTGATCTTTGCTGTGGCACAAGCTTAACGTGCTTTTAAGCATCCCTTGCTCTTCAGTGATGCCTTCAGTGAAACCAAAAGTATCATTAGCAGGGGCACAAGATGTCTAGAGCTAATTTCCGAGTGCATGGAAAAAGAAAATACACAGAGAAGTATGCAGAGGAGAGGTTTAAGACTGATTTCTGCAGGGGATGGTAACGAAGCTTTTGGGGTACATCCATTTTGCTTTCCAAAAAATGGATTAAAAGTTAGGAAATAGTCCTTCAGGTCTATTGGTGGAAAACATTAAAACAGCCACTGAGACGAGTAACACTGAATATAAAATTGTGCCAATGAAGAACTGAGATGACTGACAGCTGTCTGTCACAGCCACTTTGGTTGCATTGAGGCGTGCTTACTAATTTATGATGATGAGATAATGAACTATCTTACTGCTTATACAGCCACACAAATCCTGTCACAGACAGCTGAGCGAGCAAACCCTGATTTGCTTGAATAGAATATATCCCTCCAGCATGCACACTGGGGAATGATGAGAGGAGAAGAATACACTGCGTGGGGCAGTCATACTCCAACCTTCTTTGTTGTCTTTTTCAGTTTTCCCTTTGATGACTCCACATTTTTATTACAGGTACCTTCTGAAGGCCTGAAAGGAGAGCAAGTAAGAGAGATTTGATATCTGTGCATCCACTGCAAAGGTGTTTTATGTGCTTCAACTGCCTGATAGATTAGATTTTGCTTTAAAATGGCATTTCAAAATTAAGGTGGATAGAAGCATTGTCAGAGAATCAAGAAACAAGTTAACATATAGTGGGGACTATAAACTTAAACGAGAGGGAAAAGGGTAATGTCCTTTTGAAGTGCAGTGAATCTAACATGAGTGACAGGTGTAAGTTGGAAAGATTGAGCCATGCAATTCTTTAAAATTTGGACAGTGTTAATATAAAAGTTAAACTGTATTTGGAATATCCAGGGAAGCCCAGTGTCTTTGTTAACTTACAACCTTTGAGGAAGAGAGAGTCATGTTTAAATGATGACTAGGCATCGATGGATCATTCTGCATGCACTGCAATCAATGCTGGTAATTCAAGTAGCTAAGAATTAAATCAGCTGGTCCTTGTACTGCTGCTTTGGGAACAATGAGGAAAGGGGTGGTGTAGGTCCTGTACAGCTTACCTGTATGAGAACTATGCCCACCTGATTTTTTCTGCCAGTATTTTAATACTTTATTTTCTTAACATCTTTCTGCAGGGAGAGCCTGGCCCACGAGGACCGCAAGGCCAACCTGGACTTCCTGGACTCCCAGTAAGTAATTTCTCTTACTGCTTACAGTCCTCAGAATCTGAAACTCAGACTGATGTGAGGCATATATGCACAACATTATACATTACCCACTACTAAGGTCTTATACATTGCCCACAGTTTTCTTCACCAGAAAAACCTGTAAGCTGTCATAGACTAATGATCAAAGAATGGTTGCTGCAAAGTGGTTGGCTTTATGCCACAATGTTCCAGCTATAATAAGAGGTGGGTATGTGTATTTGTATCTCAGCAAGGAATACAACACAGTATTTGCAATAATTTAGGCACACCTGCATTCTTTTTACTTATTTATGTCTTCCGGGTACATTTTATAACACAGCTATGTGGTAAATTTCACATTAGACTGCTGCCTGATTTGCACATACTCTGCATTTCCTCACTTTTTAATTTTTCCTTGTGTTACACTGTTGATTGGTTTTATAAAATTGATGGTGTTGTGAAGGTTTACTTAGGTAAATCTGATTTTGATTATGTGATTTAAACATTGTTGTGTACTTTGTATTTAATCAAGGAATTGTCATTTTTCTGTATGCCATTTTCTTATTCTCTTCCTCTCACAGGACAACATAACTATCAGATAAGTGTTTTCTAAGTGTCATGCAGTAACTGTAGCCCAGCATTATTAGGAAACAGTTTAAAAGCTTGTTAATTTTTCTTACTTGCTTAACCTTCTAAAAATACTTTTACTTTTAAAGGGAGAGGCTGGTCTAGAGGGCAAGCCTGGAGTCCCAGGTTTACCAGGTCAAAGGGTGAGTTGCTCTTTTAATTTAATGTTAAGTCTCAGTAGGCCAGGGACAGCAGCATTCAGTAAGAATTGGTATTTTGACTCCTTTTATGTATACTTTTCCATTTATTTAAGGATCCTTGAAGCCTGGATCCTTTTTCCTATTTCTTCTTTATGGTCCAGCAACATTCAGTACCTCTTGGATTCCACAAACTGTATTGCAATGCCCTGTTGCCCTGGGAAATTTTCTTTCTCGTCCTTTGCTCTCCTCTCTTTGTCTCTGCTCCTTGCTGTCAAGATGATTCTTACTCCTCTTTCCCATGGGATCCAATGTTAATTATATTGATGTTTATCAGAGGTAGAATTAATGGAAACTTTATTTTCTAAAGGAATATTCCTAAGCCACACTCAGCCACATGGTTAGTCTTTAAAAAACAAAGCAAAATATTTTCTATAGAAAAAGCAGTGACTAATTAGAAAAAATAAAAATCTGCTGGAAATATATTTTGAGCACTGACAAATATCACTTTGTGCCATGCTTATTGGTAAATGCTATAAGAATGTAAAATCTGACAGAATTTCCTGTGGAAGTCTCATAGAAGCTATTTTTCAACTTGCCAAGCCTGTGAAAATGACCTACAAAATCACCTCATTTTAGGTGGAAAATGGATTGGAAGAGTCTTAAAAAAGCTTTAATTCCTAAAAATGTTAAAATAGAGTCCTGCTGCAAGTGAAACTTGGAGTAGTATCACCCCTATTAAGATATGAATCTGAATGTGGAACCACTAATAAGATGGACAAGTTGAAATTTCAGAGAAATGCTGTTGTCTTGGAAATGAACTCCAAAGATGCTTAGAATGCATATTACAAAGTGAAGCCATTCTGTTTTTGTTTCACCTTGAGAACACTAATGTGTGTATGGTAAGGCAGAGGACAATACAACTTTGGCATACATTTTTTAGTAGATGGTTTTCTGCAGCCTTCCAGTTGAGTTGCTTGATATTGAATTGAACTGTACGCTAGGCTTTTTGAGAATCTTTTGCTGGAGAAGATGATGCTTGCAGTCTTCATGTTAATGCTACAGTGGAAAAGGTCATTTACTCGCTTTTTTGTAGTTTTCCAGTGTTTGGAAAATATCAGCTTATGCCTTTTGCAAATAACTTTGCTGTGCTTTACTTATGAGTTGACAAGCTCTGATTTGGCGTGGTTTTAAAGCCTGCTGTGAAACACTGCTTTTTGAATAAGATTAATAGAACATATTAGCTGAGTAAAGGACAGTGATCTGTCAGGGTCTGCCACACAATACAAAATGCTCCTGCTAATGATCATTTGATTAGAGATGTCATTTGATACACACTGAGTTTGAATGTTTCCCTGACTCTGTTGTGTCTAGCTGGTTACTTTTCCTGAGGGTCCTTATTAGTCACCAACCATCTTAGGTGATAGATATTTTTTTTTAATTAAAAACCACTATTCAATGATTAAATATCTGAGCTGAATCAAAACCTTGAGGTTGGTAGAGCTACATGGGTAACCTACAGATGTGGGAGAGAGACCTGATTAGCAGATGCTGCTGAGTCATCATTAACATAGTTCTTGCTTAAGCATGGATCCAGGCATTGATTACCATCTCTCATAAATTTGGCTGCAAGAACAAGTATTTCTCTAAAAAAACTGTAGTACTTAAAATGCCATGAACAGAAATATTAGCAAGTATCTATTCAAGTCTGTTTTTAAATGACTCGGTGTGAGGTAAAGGCTGGCTCTGAAGCCACAGCGCCATGAGGATGTGGTCACAACGCTGCAGTTTGGTTGTGAGTCCAGCCCTGTTGCAAGGCATTAGTCACATCTCTCCATCTCTGTGTCTGCTGTAAATAGTGGCAGGTGTGTATGGTTAGATAACAGTGTGAGCACAATGAGCACACCAAACAGAACTAAAGCAGTAGTGACAGTATGAGTTTAATACTAACCATGTTTCACAGCACAGTTTTGAGTCATGCCAAGAAGCAATCTCCCCCAAATGTCTCTATGTGATAAAGTGACATCCTTCTTTGTGAAAGGGAAAGTTTGTCTGTACAAACATAAATATCTGTGATCTTTGCACTTGTCCTGGCCCATTGTATTTGCTAATGTAGGTGTAGCCTTTCATGTTCTGGTGAGGACAGAAAGTCAGAAACAGCCAATGGCAGATTTGGGTCTTCTTTCCAATGTTATTAGTAGGTCTTGTGTTGAACAGATGAAACTCACTATCTACTTGGCTGATCCTTCTGCTGCTTCATGTGGGTGGAATTTCATACAGGTGGGGTTTCAGGATTTGATGTTACACCAGTTTATATATCTTGAAAATTTCATTCTTGAGGGACTATATAACTGTTCTGCATTGTTATCTTGTAACATAATAGACAGATTACAGTGCAAAGGTAAATTCCAGCTTCTGATCTGCTTGACTTCAGGACCCTATCAAGTAACATGCTGCAAAGAAGGGCTAATGTAGAACAGTTACTGTTTTGCAGTATGGTTCAACTTCAGCTTGGCCATATGGTCCACAGTTGAGGTTTAGATAAAAATGATGCACACACATACAGGTCTTCTGTCCTGATATGTATTGTGCATACAAACTTCTGCTGGAGTTCTTAGAAGGCTGCAACATTTCAGTTAGCTGTAGTGCAACTGACATCGGCTACTTATGGACTAAAAATGTTTGGAACAATTTTGTAGGGGAGTGTGTGCCTCATAAGACAGTCCACTGGAAGTGGAAGTTTTTGAGGTCTGTGAAGACAAAGCCATTGTTGGTTGATGTCAGAAATATGATGCTGGGGCTACCTACACAGTGTAAATGAAATTTCAAAGCAGATGACATACTGTTCCAAATATCCTAATGATAGTCTGGCCAACAAGAGCAGAGTCATAATTTTCAGAAAGATTTCTAAGAAAAAAGGAAGCATGATATTCTTTTGGCATGAACTTTGGTTCCAGTTACTGCTGAAGAAATAAAAGAATATGTGGGTTAGCATAGTTGGCAGTAAACAAGGCACATTATTTACAGAGACACCATTTGTTTTATAGGAAAGGAAGTGGGGGATTAATTTCTTAAAATGATTATTGCAAACTTAATCTTTCATATAAAGGCACTTATTGTGCATTTTGTCCAAAATAAGACTTTTCCAATCACCCCTGCTTAGACTGTACAATTCTTAGAGCATCTGCAGAATGTTCTGCTTATGGTTCACATGAACGTGACTGAATAACCGGGGGCACGGGCCGCCCGGAGTTGAACACTGGTCATCAGGGCTTCTGTTGGCCCAGGGCTTCTGACCAGGGTAATGCTTATCTTTTGCATTTGGTGCCTCACCACCAAATAAGGATTGCAGCCTATGGACTCCAAGAACTTTACATTGGCTTCTCCATGGAACATAGAGCAACACTGTGCTCTTTCAGAAGCTGTGGACATCTAATCAGGATGCTCACACACAGCTGCTCTTGAAAGCACAAAGGTAACTGGTGAGTCCCAGAAAGTGCTCCTGAAGGCTGGAATCACTGTTCTGCAAGAAGATGCAGTCTGAGACAGCGGGGGCTGTCTCTGAAGTAGATTCTACTGGACTTTAGAGAGAAGTTGTTCCCAAGCTGACCTATAGGTATGATTGATTGTCTTCATATTGCTTTATTTAGAAAAATTAAGCAGGAAGTGCAGGAGGTGTTATGGTCTAAAAAAAAGCTTATGTTATTGCAGCAATCTGATTGCCAAATTTATCAGAAGCTCGCCTTTCTGTATATGAACCTCTTCCTCCTGCAGCTCATTCCTCGGAGCATGTAATAATGCATGCTTCCAGACATAGATCTTCAACCCAGAAGATAATAGGAGGGCTACACACAGTGGCAACATGCTAAGAAGGCTGCATAGGTTGGGAAGACAAATCACCATTTGTACATTTAAAAGCACTTCTGCACTAGTCTGGTTTAGTTGCAGGTCTTTAAGTCTTTTACGGATACAAAAAAATTCTGCGTAATCCCCTCAGTATCACTGCTGAACTGCTAATCTGATAATTCACTTTTATCTTCCAATCTTGTCTTGAGAGGAAGAGACAACAATTCCAACCTAAACCACACAACTGAATTATGTTCTTTTTATTGGACAGCTGCTTCCAAGTGCCTGGCACCTGAGGTCTATATTTTGACAACAATACCCTCATATTGATTGCACACAGAGCAAAGAACAAAGCAGTACTGTACTGTACAGTACTCTTTCTCTGATTTTAACTAAAATTGCCTGAAAAAAAAGGAGGCAGAACACTGAGAGTCTGGATTCATTTTAGTTCTTCTTCTTTTTTTCTCCTCTCTTTCTGTCTTCTTCCTGAGAAATGGAAGAAAGTTTGAAGTACTCTGATTCTGCTTCAAAGTCTTTTCACACATCTTATTGTTAGAAATAATGGAAATAATCCTAACCTTTCTTGCATGACAGACACAAAAGGTGCTTATCTGATATGCTCATGGAAAGCACACAGACCTTAGCGTAATCTAGACTAAACACAGGGTTCTTCTGAAGTGTGCTCCAAATAAATGTAGAGAAAAAAGTTCTTCCCACTGAAATGGTGCAAATTCATTCAAGTGATTGAAATGTTGATAAACAAACCAAGAGAAAACACTTACTTATCCTAGAAGAGTACTTTCCATTTAAGTGTGAGGTAGCAGCTACCTAGACCAACTTTGGATGTGATGCATTGCAGCCTAGTTTTCTAAATTTGTATTGTCAGAATTTTCCCATGCTCAAAGAATGGTGAAAAACACTAAAAAATACGAGTCTCATAGAATAGTAAGAATGGTCTTGTGGGGAAAAAAAAAATTCTTGATGGAAAATATGTTTTAAAAATTGTACTCTTTAATGAATTTCCTTATCTATGATTAAGACTTCACTGTACCTGAATCAGACTGATAAGTAATTCCACCTTTTTCGACTTGGTGCACAAGATAATTTGTGCAGAGTCAAGCATAGAATGGGAGTTGGTTGGATGTCAAAACAGAGATAAC